AATTAATTCTGCTTAGTTTGCAAATATTTTCTCTGTGTTTTAAACTAATATTTTCTTTTTGTTATTGTATTTTAGGCTAATAATAATTCCAATGATTAATAACGAATCATTTTTATAATTATCATGTAATTCTATAATTATCATGCCTTCTCCTTTAAAGCAATTTTAAATTATTCTTCCAATGAGATTTTGAATTTCATGAAACATAGATCTACAATATTTAAAAGATTAATACATATCATGATAATATTGAATTCATGATGGGATAAAATATCTCAAAAGAAATTTAGTGCGAATACCTGATTGTGTTTGCCATTTTTAAATTACTTTTCCACAGTTTGAAATCCTTGAACGATATTGCAAATTATATCGTTAACTTTCCATTCTAAAATTGAAATAATAATTTTAATAAACTTAAAATAATAGTATCAAAGATGATGGCTTTTCACACTGAAATTAGATTTAAAATAAATCTAATGAAGAAAGAAAGTACAAGACAAAAACAAGTTGAAGTAAACAGAAGAAAGAAGAATAGAAATAAAAGTTGTCGCGTGGTTGATAGAAATTGGATGAACCGTAAAGAGGAACTATAGCTATAGGATATCGTACGATTCCCGAGGGAAGAGGCGACGAGATTCGATAGGATAAGATTACCGGTGCAAAGGAAGAGATTCCTGCGTAGTATTTCCTCCGTAACCTGGTCTAAATGGTGGGCCGTTGTGCTAGGTTAGTGTCAAGGTCGCGGCTGGTACAGATCGTTTTGCGCAGCGGCGATATTCTCGGTGTGATATTTGCATGCGGCGTCGTAAAGTAGTACGGACAATGCGGCATGATTTCTTTTATTTTTTAAATCGTATAATATGTATAGTATGTAATATCGAGCAAATCTCTTCTGATTTCGATGATATAAATATATGCATACTGATTACGAGATTTAAAATCGTGTTCTCGTTTTCTATTATAATTGATATTTTTTAATAATTTTACGCTTTCACCGTGTTATGGTACACAGATCAGTGACGATTTATTTTAACTTTGCTTCGTGAAGTTTCTTGTATTTAATAGTATTTTCTGTACTGGTTGATATTTGTTAGTGGCCTAACTAAATTATGTTAAGATGATATAGTGTCACTAAATATTAGTGATTTTTATTAATTAATATCGAATATTAGTAAGAACCAATTTATAAAGGATTTTCCAAATTTATTACTAGTTTATAATACTAGTATGTTTAGCTTTTTGGTTTGTTCAATTTAAATTTTTTTTCTATAAAATAATATATTAGAATAATATAAATAATGATTGTATAATGATAATAAATTAATTAAAAAATTTTATAATAATATTAATAATAATATTATATTACCATTATCGATTATTTACAAGAAATTATCATCAAATTGTATTATCTCGATATGTTTTTTAAATGCAAATCTGAACAAATCTGCATGTAATGTTATATCTGTTTCTATTATAATTTTGCCTAGCCGTTAAATGAAGTTTTAATATTTCCATCCAATCGAAAACGTGCCAATTTTTACATATTGTAGCAAACACCTGTTAATATAAATGCAACGGAGTGTGATAATCGGTCAATGAGCACGTATTTCAGAATTAAATTATTAAATCTAGCTTACCTTTCTATCCTGATTTATTCAATGCTAATAAAACATTTATTTCGACATTCTTTTCAATTAAAACTGTCTTGTAACTCTCAACAAATAATGAAAAATTTTTCTACCTGTACAAAGACTTCTCAATCTTCTTTCTTCTTCTTTTTTGCAAAATGAGATTTCCAGCACGAGCATATTTATTAAAAATTAATAGAAATAAGAAATTTCTATATATAATTTTAAACCATTTTTTTAAAAGATATTGCGTAGATAACCATGTATTATTGAAATTTCATACATCAAAGAATATTTGCGTAATAGATCGTGATTGGCATCTAAATTATTATGATTTCGATATTGCTTTATGTTAATTTCATAATTTATATTCAGTACCTTCGAGAATCTGTTGCAAAAGTAAACAACGAACGTTAGATTGATGAGTGTAGTGGCCGAATTCGCAATTAAATTATTAGCCACCAGAGGTCTCTTTTTAAAAAGTTACTAGAAAAACTTGGTACATAAAAAAAAAAAAAGCAAACAAAATGGAGAGAAATCAATTAGAAAGATGGCATCGACCCATCTTTTTCTCTTTCGCCTTTCATTCTTGAGCTAGTGAGTTATCGATCTAAAAAGAGCTTTGTTTGTTGCTCGTCGACGGGTAGTGGAGTGGCGGGACTATCGATGTTACGACTGCTGGCCACGCCACCTCGATTCCGCTACCGATGTGCAAGGTGTAGCGGAGTCAAGGCCAAGGTTGCGTTTCCATGATCAACGCTCGGTGTCGATCTCGTAATCTTCTCGTGATATCAAGATATTCGTTCTTGCGATATTTTATTAGAATATAATATTATAAGTGTAATGTTAACGTTATCAAGAAAATAATCGATTGCTTATCTGAAATCAAATTCTCCCGTTTGATATAATATTCATGAATTCATATGAATTCAACAACGTATTATGATGTCAAAAGTATGTACACACAATACATAATTATGCAGAGAATATTTCGTGATAGCTCATTTGACGTTTAATATACCAATATGGAATCATTTAAGGATCCCAATGCGACACATCTATAAGATTAGTAATAGATAAGTCATACGCTAAATATATATTTATATTATATTTGATTTCTGAATAGTTAAACGGTAATTATATGTTTTGAAGGAAAAATTATAAATTTCTCAATGTATGAAATTGATTTGATTTCTACATGGCATATTTGTAATAAAATATAGTAAAATAATAATTCTGAATGATATTATTATCAGATTGAATGAGAATATTATGACAAACACAATACAAATTTATAGAAATAAAAAATATGATTTAAATAAAAGGTTAGTATGTTAAAAATTAATATAAATACATTCCTTTTATATATCCATCAGTTTTTCTTAGAGTTTTCATAAGATTTTTAAATTCCTATCATTCAGATCGTACAAAATAACCTCTTAATTTACAGGATTTTCTTCCGTTCTTGTTCCTGCTACCCAATTTGCGCAATTCGGTATTAACATGCTCATTGGTACTCATATTACGCGTTATAATGTTTGGCCAGCATGAAACGATGCCGCATACCGTCATTTATCCTCGAATAAAGTTGTGCCAACCAACGAAAAGGCAAGGTCAAGGTCATGTCCGGACGTGCACACGCGATGCCATATGGCTTTTTCGAATCCGCATTCGAATCGATGCTTCTTGCATGCTTACCAAGTCACGATGATCCTTACCAAGTGACGTCAAGCCGGCTCGAAGATGATCGATAATGAGTAATTTTGACATTCTCTCAATCGCACTTTTTTTTCTTTTGTCTTCGTGATAAGCCGATGTCTGACTACATTTTTTTTTCTTTTTAAACTCTTCAAGTTGAAATTGTTGTTAACAAATGACGACGTGGATAATAATATGATAGTGTTCTTCTTTTTTCAAATAAATAGAAATTTCACTTTTTACTAAAACATGATATATGAATATACAATCATGAGTTTAAACTTAATCAAGATAAAATGTTTTTATATGTTAAATATAATAAGGGCGCCATAAGATCTGGTTTATTTGGCTTACCGTTGCATTTACATTCTATTCTATTATTAACCTCAAAGATAGATTAGATTGTATGTCTTTTAATTCGCAATTAATTCGTGTCAAGATTGTTCCATCCTATTAAATTGAATTTTTAAAAATGATTCGTTATATCGTTTTTGCTGAATTAAACAAAGATCTTTCGTTTTATTTTTATCAGCATATTAAAATAATATTAAAGAATAGGAAAAAAGGGGAAAAAAAAAGGAAGAAAGACACGAAAGTCGCGAAAGACAAAACTTAATTATAATTAAAATCAATCTCACATTTGATTGTGTACGAAATCGCATAAACTAACGTTTTTATAGTCTACTTGATTATCGCAATTTAACTTTCCTTTTAAAATTAATTTTACGATCATACAGAGTGACATGTTTACTGGCAAAGAATTTTCTACGCGTACTATTTCCAGTTAAAAGACACCAAACGAATCGAGACAGTTTCTACAACTTTCTCATTTGCATCATCGTTTCTGCCACATTTCGAGATCGAGTCAGTGATATGTAAATTTACACCGGTTATACTTCACGTGCTCCATGTGAAACATTTTATTACACACGACATGTGTGCTCGCCAAAGTATTTCGAGAATAAGCGAGCTCGATTACATTCCCTTTCCACAAAAGAAGATGCGGAAAATTTGTTCGCTTACGATAGAAAGGGAAGGAACGTTAAAATTCCATTCGTACACGTGAATTCGTCTGAATTCTGGCGAACGTTCGAAAAGGTAAAACTCGATAGAACGGATATCGACAATGACGGATAAAACGTGCGTAACAAATAAAAACACATGCGGCTACGTGCCATTCCTGGCTTGTTTGTATTGAAATTCCAAATCGAATCGACGTGTAAAATTGCTAGGACGTTTGTCGAGTATGATACTCGTCCATTCTGTCTGGTGCAACCAGATTATATGTATAAAATCTAGGACAGGCTACGAGGTTCCGCAATAGGTTCTATTGCCGATTATTTACTTACTTTCAACTGATCGAGGTTGAAACCGAGCTAGTAAATACATAGTTAGTTCACTATAAATTACTTTCGGTATGTTTATTCTGTAATTGATAGATACATTTTCTTTCAGAATTTATATCGATGCTTCATTGATTTTATTAGATATTTTGGACTTGACTTTGTGATTTCAATGTTTTCAAGTGCAAAAATTATATGGATGGTGATGGACAAACGAATGAAGATCATCCTGTTTTCTGGAAAATAAAAATTATTATTTTCGAAAAGAAACGATGCTAAAGTGTCGAAGATAGCACATAGTAACCTATTTTATCTTAAGTATCCATTGATAAAGTTTATTTAATTTTAATAATATATTTCTGATTTAGATTTTTCTATTGATGATAATAAAAGTAGGCAAATGGATGGAATCCATTCCGCTTACTCGTTGCAAAATGAAGATCATTGCAATATTTGACTAAGAAAAGGAACGCTTTAAACACGAAAGTATTAGATATAGCACGTGGTAGTTTATTTTAAGAGGCGACGTCTGGAGCATCGCCCTTGGCTAGGCTCCCCTTTATCCTGCAGCTTCCTCGTAAATATCCACCTTTTCATCTGACAAGATGTTGCCTTTAGTCAATGCGCATTGCGAAAAAAAAAAAAGCTTCCCTTTAACTACCCCAAGAGTTTGTACTCTTCTAATTCTTTCGTGAGATGAAGAAGATTTCCAACTGTTTCTTCGCGGTTCCATAGCTTTGTAAACATACGGTGGGAAAGGATTACTTGTTATTTTGCTTCTTTACTTGCCACAACGTTATTCAGTTGGGAAATGTACCTTGAATAAACTCTCGACAATTGTTTACACCTTTTAACGTTTTTTAACATTGTTATCTTTCTTTTTCACAGTTCCATCAAACTTTGTTGACCTATATGAATGACAGAGTATGGGATTTTAATTTCTATGTGGCTAATGACTGGCCGGATGATGAGATCTGTTTACATTTTCCAGGCATGACGTTATCTGTAAGTATGAAATGCCCATTTGTTTTAGATTACACTTAAGAGCAATTGATAAGATCGTGTAGCTTACACACACTATATAGCAAATATAATTTCATTTCTATCGAATAGGTACATCAGAGGAGAGTGTAAATATCAAACATCGCCAAAATGCAATTTGTTTTCTTTGAAGATGGATATTATTACATTTTTTTTCTGCCTGATAATCGTTTGCAAATTATCTGAACGAAATATAACAAAATTGATGGCCTCTTTTCTAATGAATATAAATTTGAAAATCAAAAGGAAAACTCGCGTGCCTTCGGCAAATTCATCTTGTTTCCGAACGTATCGCACAGAGGTGCAGAAAATTTGGCCCAAATCCTAGCTTGGCTTTCGTCCAACCTTTTGTTTCACAGCCTTGCCAGTTCATTTCCTGACCTTCCCTTGTTAACTTCTCTAATCTGCCGCCCTATCTTATTCGATGCTCTTTACTTAATTAACGTGTCCGCAATTTTGTCCGTTCGATAACTTGTTACCATTAAATTCTCGTGTCCTTCCCGAAATTCGCCAATTCGTAAATCAAAAATTAACCGGTTAAACCTTGATATCTCTCATCGTGTTAGTTATTTGTTCGACCGCGTTCAAACAGTGTCACTTAATCTCTGCTAACAATAAGATGAAATTTCGAATAGAATTTCGAATGTCGAGAGTCAAATCTGAGGCGACAAAATCTTTGAACAAATAATTCATGTATAACCAAATTCCTTTTACAATTTCTCTCTTAATCTTTTAATCTAAGATCTCTTTAACACAATTGCTCGATCGATTTTCAGCCTCATGGTTTACTGTTCGAAAGTGTAGGCGTCTTCTGTCCCAACGACCGACTGGATCTGCTTAAATTATTAAGGGAGGAGGATATTTTGATCGACTGGACGAAGCCTCTTTACATCAATTTCGTTCATTACGATATCGCCAAGGAATTGATGCAGCTTTACGAGGGCACAGGAACGATCGAGAGGATGATAGGGGATGTTTTTATGTGCAAAGATCCTCAGAACGTAGATAACGTCGAGGAACCGGATGAAGAAGCCCATCCCGACATTCAAGTTCAACCCTTGAAAGCGGAACACGTTGAGAGTATTTACGAATTGTATCCAGCGAACGATATGGAGTGTCACGAAGTTTTCCTCCGATTGATCAGGACGCTTCCCGCTGCTGGAGTGTTTGCTAAGGGTAATTTGGCAGCTTGGATGGTTCAGTCTTATTACGGAGCCATGTTTTCAATGCAAACCAAGCCTGAATATCGAAGGAAGGGTTACGGGACGAAATTAGCAAGGTAGACAAATTTTTCTTTTTTTTTTTTTTTTTATTAAAAGTTAATCTAATTGCTTGATCATTGCTTGATACGGTAGAGTTTAGATGGATTTTGAAATAAAGTCTTTGATCAAATATACTTCTCCATTCATAATAGCAAAACCGTAGGTACCTGACGAAGCAGGTCGCTGACAGAGGTTATCAGCCTTTCGTGGTCATACGTCCAGAAAACGAAGCCAGCCAAAGTTTATACAAGAAACTAGGCTTTAGGAAAATCTATCAAACTGTTCGAATGACGTTCATGCCTTTCACGTGGCAGGATGAGGAGAATAAAACGAGTCGCATTTTGAGGGAAAATTTGGAGAACGCTGTCAGACAGCTTACTATCGAGCAACAAGTAGTGGACGCTTTCAGAAATGATGAAGTTGAAGAGAATGAAGCAGGGAATTCGGAATTTGTGGTAGAGGAACCTGAGGAAGGAGATGAGAATCCTGCAGAGGAGGGAAGGATCGAAGTGATGGAAGAAACGACCGAAGAAAACGTGAAAAATACGATCAATGATAATGGAAATGTCGAGGATAATGAGGGAACTGATGATAACGCTGAAGAAACAGTAAATGATGGTGATAATCAAGATGATGGGGGAACAGACGGTGGGGACGCGGAATAATTAAGTACACGTTCGATTATTCGATAAAAGGTCCATGATTTACGTCGTGTTGCTCGCTCGAGGGTATATTCCTCTTTCCAAGGCTGATGGAAGAATGAAATCGATCAACTGTTAGAAAATTCACCTTACATCTATGATTTCAAATGCATTTTTAAATGAACTACAACTCTCGTTTTAAAACAATTTCTTAAAGTCTTTGTAAGCATACTGAAATGAAATCTATGAACAATTGAAAGTATTAGATGTGATAGGCATGATTATAAAATCGACCGATTACATACATCGATGTATCTTGACCACCTTGGCTAAAATGGCTACCTTTCGTTGGAAAGAACTCTCGAGCAGCACGAATGATACAAGAAAATAAAAGAAAAATTATTTTAAGAATCTTAATAACTTTACAGCACCCGCGTTCGTGCGAGGCTTCAATTCGCGTACGAAGAAATACGTATCTACGTACGGATTCCTCATATCAGACTGCTCGAAGTATGTCATGAAGGTCTCAGGAAACAGGTAGACGTATCCTTTGAATTGTCAAGGTTAGATTATTTCAAAGTCTATCTTTACCGCGTCAAATATCTTTCTATTGTTTTTAGTGGATTCGTTATTTCAAATGTTTAATATTAAATTTATAATAATTGTATATTTACGTGAAGTATGTTTGGAAATTAACTCCAAATTAATCTCTCATTTGGTCGTATTTTCGAACTAATCATTGTAATAACATTGTATAATATTTGTATCTTTGATAAAATGATATATATGTATTTTTATTAAGTAGTAAATATTTGATTGTTATTTATTGAATATTAAATCTAATTAACAAGAATATGAATATAAAATTCAATGTATTCAGTTTCTTATTGAAAAAAAGAAAACTGAAAGTGATCGATGAAATTTGTTAATCTATTAGCGACTAAAAAATTACGATAGACTTTGAATTACGATTTCTCCGTATTAAAATAATTAATTCTATTTTGAAAAAGGAACAATCAGCGTGAATGAGTCGTCGTGAAACGTACGACAGTTGAGAAATTTACGCGCTGAATCAATCTGTGATTATAATTTCCCTATATAAAGTAGCATTTCGAATAAAAATTCAGAAGCCTCGTGCGACCTCGACACGCTTTCCTTAATACAAGTAGAAGCCAATTACTGTGCCGGTGCGCTCAACCATAATAAATTTCAGACACATTGAATTATGGGATAACAACTTCAACTCGACAAGATTGAAATAAAATATTGAATGAAATTTTATTCTAAATTTAATAAAATTTAATAAGATTTATCTACAATTTTAACAAATTGTACGTGCAATTGTGATCCCATTTCAGAGAAATATTTAATTAAAATCTTACCTATCTAACCATTTATATTTTCAAGAAATCACTTCATTATTTTTTTATTGAAAAAAAAAAATAGTTTTTATTAATATAAGAGTTTTTGAAGAATGTAGTGCACAGACACAATAATCGGTCTAGCGTGCGAGCCAACGATAATAACAATAAATAATAATAATAATAATAGCGATCATACAATTAATATTACTATTAGTTACAGAATATACATGTATAATATGAATATACGCGCAAAGGGAAGCCCGATCAGCCCGGTTCGGTTATTGAGAAATTCTTTTTAAAATCTAGGTGATAGTTACTATTTGTATCATTTTTTCTATATTTCACAGATGATGCATTTTGTCAATGATACTCTCTACACGACAAACGTGTGAAAGAACAGATTTAAAAAGTCGTAGCTGGGACGACCGGGCAGTTCCTCGAAGGCCCTCAATGTCCCTCCTTTATTTTGGATTTTCGACGTTGCTGGGGGCCAGCTGTGATATTTTCCCCACTTACGCTCTGGTCATAGTACCAATATTTAGATTTAGACGAAACTTGATTGTTGTTAATGGGACATGCTATAGCTTTCTCAATTCTATTAATATTTTGTCATGGATGTGCTTAAAATAGCGAATAAATTTGTTATTTCGCATTGTTTCAGTTATTGACTCTTGGAGGACCAACGAAACTAGCATTGACAGGAATGGAGTAAAATATAAAATTTGAAATTATAATAATGTTAAATTCGATAATGTTAAAAAAATTTCTATAACGTATAAGTTACATAGCATCAGTCCTCTAAGTGTAAAATGTTATACAATAAAATGTCACGTACGTTATCGTAAAATGATACAATAAAATTTAATGTATAATTTATATTCTAATATTCCAGTTTAAATAATTACAATAAAAAAACTTGATAAAGAATTTAGTAATAATTCAAACGTACGTGACTATATATATATGTTCAATGTCTAAAATCAAATCTACATACTTCCCTGCATTGCTTGTATGGTAAGCTTGTCAAAGTTTTGTTTTGTCAGTTTGAATTATAACAATAATCATAACCTAAGCCACAATCAATTTCGTACACTTCTTATACTGTGCACAAGCTCGAATGAAAATTGCAAATATGATTAAATACAGTACGGTTATTACAAGAGATATATAAATTTTCGAATCGAATAAATGAAAAGGGTACTGAATTTCAAGTTCGAAAACTGTGATTTTATGCACAAGAAAAATTCATTGTAGTTCCTAAAATTAGAACTAGATAGCGGAAGTGGTTAGTGGCGCTGTTGTCAGGACAGTTTCCCTCCATTTTTAAGTTATGCAGTGCAATTTTCGATTCGATTCGTGATCGCGCTATGTCAATTAATTCGCAGTGTAATATTACTTTTTGTGTCATATATCGTCACTAACTAGTGTTTGAACATCAACAAGATTTTATTCTAGTTTAATATTGTATATTTTTAAATAAATTCAATAATATATAATGTATAAATACGGAATAAATGTGTGATTATAAAGTTTACATAGACAAAAGAAACATGGCAGTTCAAAATTTAATTAACGGATATATTACTGAATTTATTTTTAAATTTCAACATCATATACCCTTTATCCAGCTATTAATTAAGGTAAAAATTAATTTTATAGTTATATAGTATTGGATATTATTATTATATATATTATTCTATTGGATATTTTTTTAGTTTAGACTACAAAATTTTCGGTAGTTAGTGACGCATATAATTCGCACAAAATGATCTCTTGTAATGGCCGTACGATATATAATTCCGTTACGTATATTTGAACAAATTGACTTTAAATTATATAAATCTGTTTCTTTATTCATTTTCAAATATATATCAAATCAATAATAAAAAAAAATAATTTTAAAAATTAATTTTTAAATAATAAAAAATTAAAATTTTTTAAATATTATATCTTATTTTTTATTTATTCAGAAAATTAATTTTTTTAATTTAACATATTGTTAGTATTTTTGTAGTTTCAAATATAGTTAGACGTTTAATTTATCAATCATAATTTTTTTATTTTAAATTAAGAAAGTAATATTATTAGTATTATTTAAAATTCTTATATTTTTTATTATATCTTGTTTTATATACAATAATGAAAAAAATATAAAAAATGAATCTAAATGAAAAAGAAAAAAATAACAACGAAATAATTAATACAATTAAATCTATACGAGCCTGCATCTATAGTTTGTTAATTAACATCGTGCAAATCAATGTCTCGCGAAATAGGCCTAAAATCCGTCTATTAACATCTAAACATGTTTCTTCTACACTTATTGTAAATATATAT